TAGTTTGGGCAGGTAGCCAATGTTGTACATATGATGGATATGGATGATGGTGTATATGACATTTTGGGTTATGACAGACCATATCTTTTCCGCTGCAATTTTATTTGAAAAATTCAGTTAAATTAACTTGAAAAAAAATGTTTTGTGGAATTGTAGTGTGAATTGTGACATCCGTTGTGGGAGATACTCTGATGTGTGCTTATTTAATTGCTTTATTTTATTTTGGGAAACGGGATGTTACACATCCTCCCTTCTGCTACCTGCTCACGGAGATAGTGAGACCTCATTTTAATGTGTTTGCTTCTTTCATGTGCTATCGAATTCTTCGCCAGATTGATAGCAGACATCATATCGATCTTCATGGTAATTTCTCCATGACTCTTCGCTGTAATCTCTTCAACCAAGTTCACCGTCCACTTTACTTGACATGCACAGAAAGAAGCAATTATATGTCGTACCTCGAAAAATACGATCTTCACGATGGGACGCAGAAAAAATGTTCGAATAGAGTCGCCATCGAACATTATTCATTCTAAGAAGGAATAGGAAAACATTGATAAAACCTTTAAAGATAATAAAATGGTCATCGCAACCAATTTATAGGTTCGCGAGTCGGTTACGCAAGGGGGAACTATTAGCACTTCTCACGTCCATTGTATTCAACATGAACCTCTTAATTCGATTCTTGATCGAATGTTAGCTAAAGTTGTTTGTTTTTTTCTAAGCGAATAATGAGAAAGGTATGAGAAAAGAGTTTGGTTTTCTAAAGGGAAATGATAGTTTTTTATTAGGGTGCTCGCTAAGGATTGAGGTCCTTGTGCCTACTTATCTCTATTTAAAAAAATGAAGAATCAGAGCGTCCATAGTTTTATGGGACTATGGTTGATTAGTTTGTTTTATTGAACAAATGTTTAAATCGCATTCTAAAGGCTAAACATTAGCTTGTATATTCATGGAGGGAGGTTGAGACAATTAGTTTGTATACGCATCAGAAGGGACTAAACATCATTCTTTTAAGAAAAGATTTTAATCGCACGAAACCGAGAAGTTGAATTAACGTGTTGATATTTTGTCTAGATGGCGATTATTTGAATAGTAAGGAAGGCTCCTCTGGTATCCAAATAATCGAAGGAGCGAATCGAAGGCTTGAGAATCTCTCTTTTTCAACCTTAATTGTGAAAGAGTTTTGATATAGTTAAAGTGTTTTGAGCGGATGACGAGCACTTGAATAGCCAAGGAAGGCTCCTCGTATCCAAGTATTCGGGAGAGTGAATCCAAGGATCTAGACTCTCTCTTTTTCATCTAAGTGTTTAAGAAAATAGGTTTGATTCGATTTGTTAAAAAAATAGTTTTTATGCGAATTGAATTAGAAGTTTTTAGAGAAGACAATTGTTCGAATAGTAAGGAAGGCTCGTCGTACTCAAACAATCGAGAAGAAGAATCGAAGACTCAAAACTCACTCCCTTTTCATCTTTTAATGAAATAAGGTCTAAGTACTGTTAAGTTGATTTATGTGATTTAGAGAAAATACTCGATATTGATCGAGGTTTGAATTTGGGTTTGAAACACTATAAGAGGTTGAGCTAGATAGAAAGAAGGTTCTAATTGTGTCGGGTTAGGTTGATGGTGATGCACAAGGCAAACGACTTACAAGAGCGGGATAGGACTTGAGATATGGATCAAGTATGCTTTAGGGTTTGGAATTCATTCATCATACAAGACAAAATATAAACAAGCAAATAAAAGAAAGCGATAAAATTATTTTACTCTTCATGGGGATGAGGGTACATCTTTCTGAATGGGGATAAGAATGAATGATAAACACACAACCCAAACAAACAAGCATACACAAGTAAATGAACAATGAAAGCAATAAAACAATTAAATCGGTTTTTAAATTACGTGTGTACTAGCAAAGTGGGCTAGTCTTTTAGACGACCAACTAGAAATAGTTGATCGAATAAGTTTTATTGTAAAAAAGGCCAAGAGTAAGCTATGAATATTGTGTATGGTGACCATGAGGTTGATGGTGATGCACGAGACAATCGACTTACAAGGGTGAAAAATGGCTCGACTTTGAGTCGAGAATTATTTGGAAAATAATTTGAATATGTAAGTAAGATCAATATCAAGATATATCATCAAGCACAAGCTCAACATGAGAGAAATAGCAAGGCAATAAAAATTGACAACCACACAATTAAATTGACTCAAATAAAAGCACACAACCATCACCTAAACAACTAAATCCACTTAAATTAATTAAAATAATATAATTAAATTAAATTAAATCAAAATAAAAATATATTTTTGACATTTTTAATCATATTATAAAAAATAAAACAAATAATTTTAAAAGAAGAAATAAGAAATAAAAGAAAATGAAAGAGAAATAAAAAATAACTAAAAAGAAAGGAACCTGAGCCAGATATCATTACTAAGAAGACGGTGTACATAAAAAAAACCTCAATCCCATTCGTTAAAAGGCTTACGCTAAAAAGTTAGAAAACTACCCGAGGTAAAGTCCCATTAATTAGGAATCATTATTTTATTTTAATTCTTAAGTAAAATTTAATAGGCTATTACCTCAATTGAACTTAATGGTCGAGGGTAAGAATATCTTAGAGACATATTTCGAATCCCAACAACTATAATTTATGTTTTTATTTCTTTTAAAACGATGCTATTTTTTTTAAAATTAAAAATCAAGTAACTTATTCCTTTGGATATACAAACAACCGAGGGAAAATTATCTCAGGGACACGCTTGAAATCCTAACAACTACAATTTTTTTTTGCTTTAATAATGACGCCATTCTTTTTATTTTATTTTTTAATTAAAAATTAAGTCATCTAATCCTTCAGATATACAAACAACTAAGGGGAAAACATTCATTCATTTATACTATAAAATCATTCATTCATTTAGTTTTACCCTAAACCTAACACATTCGTTGTCGCTCCAAACTCATAAGCATCACTCGTTGAGATGGATTACAAGACTAAAAAATTGTTAAAGGTTTACCAACAATAAATAAAATATTTTTCTGATCTTAGAGAAACATATTTCTAATCATGCTGAGAAGATATAACAACCCCAAAAGAGATGAATGGTAAGAAACTATTAGTAATATATATATATATATATATATATATATATATATATATATATATATATATATATATATATATATATATATATATATATATATATATATATATATATATATATATATATATATATATATATATATATATATATATATTCCACCATTTTCTTTTTGGATATGTAAGGAGTCTTTTCTCTCTGCCGGGTTAATAACTAGAGAAAAAGGTCCACCAACAACTTTGTATTCTAATTAAAAAAGTGGCACCTTCAATTTTTTCTATAAATGAACTTTTACTATTCATTTATAAATTAATAACAGTCAAGACATTGACAAGACACAAAATACATGAAACATCAGTGATTCACATAAAATTCTCACTAGTCAATCAGAAAATGAATGGACATAGATATATATTGGATGCAAAGCGCTGAAAGACAATAGTGATATTGGAAACATTTGGAATGAAAATAAAGAAATGTAAACATAAAGTGTGAAAACAATATCTACGATGAACTGAAAGAGTAGGAAAATTTCTAAGTTAAAAAGTGATTCCTCACACAATCTCTTATCTTGTGAATACTAATACTATTTTTTTCGTCTAACATTTATTATTTTTTATCAAAAGCAAATAGAAGTAAAATCTTTAAACTTAAAAAGCAATGGGTATGCAACAAAATTTAGAATTTAAGTTCCAACAACTTCAAATACATGGTAATGATGATGAAGATTTAGAGTTTCTCAATCAATTTTCACTTTATACATTGAAACGAAAATAATATAAAATAAAAAATTATTTTAAATAAATAATACGTTTGTGAAAATTAGAAATTGTGACAATTGCGGAAGTTACAGCAGAACAGAGCTTCCGATACAATACGTTGAAGTGACATCGTGGGTCGAAGGTTACGATCACGGTGTTTTTTGGATTAGAGGAATCAATGTTGATACGACGTCGTTAACGATGTTGTTATCTCTGATACGGTGGACTTAGGGGGTACATGTATGATTAACACTCTAACGTACAAATAAGTTTAGAGTTGAATATAAATAAAAGTGAAAGTGAAGATTAAAGATTGTGTACCTTAATACCTTTTATAAAGACATTAAGCCTATCAGAGTAAGTTAGATAATAAGTCTCGCGCTAATGGACTTCTGTCAATGTGTCCCGAATCTTAGCCGACACTTATATATATATATATATATATATATATATATATATATATATATATATATATATATATATATATATATATATATATATATATATATATATATATATATATATATATATATATATATATATATATATATATATATATATATATATATATATATATATATATATATATATATATATATATATATATATATATATATATATATATATATATATATATATATATATATATATATATATATATATATATATATATATATATATATATATATATATATATATATATATATATATATATATATATATATATATATATATATATATATATATATATATATATATATCACTTTGAGTATTATAAATGCCGAGAGAAAATATAGCGTTTTTAAAAAAAAATACTAAAATACGATCGGTGGAGATCGAACTAATCAATTATATATATGTTCTCCGAATAAAAGATCACAACCAATTTAGAAGAAAAGTTTCTCATTTTTCATGACAACTTTTATTACCTGAACCTCCACACCAATATCAAAGACTCTTTGAACCAAAATATAAACTTTAATGTTTGGTAGTAGTGCAATCAACAACCGTAATCAATCTCATTTTCTAAATAAGATCCAACTATTCCAATTGTACAATTTTGAATAAATATCTTATCTGAATATATGAATAATATTCAAAAAGAACATAAATCTAAACAGAAAACCTTAATTAAATGCTACTTATCCTTGAACTTGAGTGAAACCTTTTCATTTTCACAGTTTGTTGTTTGTAGATTACCACAAAGCAAGGAAGCAAAGCTTTAGAATTCAACAAGTAAAGTTCTTCAACATCTGAAGAATCACTCATCTTTTCTACCAATGAATCAAATACTAACTCAACTTTTTCTTGAATTTCTTCAATAGGACAATGAACTCTCCCAGCTATTACCCTACAAACTATAACTGATTTTCTTGTAAATTCTTTCTCATCATAAGCCACAATAGAATCAAAGGCTTTTCCACTTGTTGAACTTGTATAAACCCCTAATGCACCTTGAAATTCCTTGTTTGTAGAGAAACCATGCCTTAGAATTTGACACACACCACAATAATCTAAAGTGCACAAACTATGAGAATTGTTTATGCCAAGAGAACATGCAATGTTAGTGCCATGGAACATTAAAACCTCATTTCCATCAACAAGACAACGTGGATGATTCTTAGTATGCAGCTTGTTGGCTTTAATCTTCACCATTTCTCTATACTCTTCAAAGCATGTTAAGGTTTTTGGCATGTTGTGGACTTTTAAGATACAGTCGATCTGCCATAATTCAGAACTAACCAAGCTTGATCCTCTTTCACAAATTTTTTCTACAATCTTCCTAGATGAGTCTTCTTCAACTTTAGTGACTGCAAAATAATCGGTTCAAAAGAATAAACATACGATAAACACAAACTATAACACGCGATATTTGGTAACAACGTTCCATCAAGGAGAAAAAACAAGACTCATATTCCAAAAAAAAACTTACACTCAGACATGTAAAACATGGTTTTGAATTGTGGTTCAAAAGAAAGTGATTACCTGAATGCTCAGTGATATAATCATCATCAGGATAGGTGAACCTTGAAGATGTTGATACCCTTGTTACTGTTCTAAAAGAACCTTCAAAATCCATAATGCTCCTTTCAGATTCTCGATAAAAACTTGATGAATTTATTAAGTACCTTCTGCTTCCTTGGATGATATTTGAATGATCATGTAAATCTGATTTTGTCCTCTGATCATTAAATCTCTTTGGATCATGAACTTGTTTTGAATTTGGTTTGCATCGAAGCTTGTTCTTCAGAGACAAATAAATTTCAAGCATTTTCTCTTTCTTTTCTTTGTACTCAAGGTTTTCACAAAATAAATAAATTCCAGTTTCTTCATATGCAAGTATTTTTACGAATAAATTACATGTGTAACATGATACACATTATACATATATTTCATTTGAGTTGACATAAACTCCATTATTATTTAAAAGCTCAACAATAACACATGAATTTTAATAGTTAATATACAATTAGCCCATGAGGAAACTGGGAGACGAAAATTAATTTAATCAACTTGAAAATGTAAAGGGTGGCAATATTTAACATAATATAATAGAATAACCAAATAGACTTATACAAATTTTATTAACTCATGAGCACTTAAAATAAATAAATTAATATTTCCACCGTTGCTAAACTTTGATAATTTAGCAGTTTTATTTTGTTTTCAAATATTTTATGTTTGAAATTCAAAATATCATTTATCTTTAATGCGAGAGTTACAATAACACGAATGCGAGAGGCAGTGAAATATTATTTATTTATTTATTTTAGCCACCTCTTTGAAAAATACATCGTCAATTCTTATTATTAAAAAGGAGAAGAATATCGATATATGTGTTAGAACATGTGTGTCAAAGATTTTGATGGCGCCAAAAACAAAACAAAAAAAGTAAAAATTATAAGCACTATTAAACAAAAAAAATGTGAAATAGTTTCAAAAGCGAAAAGTTTCTGGTAATTGGTAAAAAAATATCAAAAGCCAAAGAACACCATTAAAAAAATGGTGTCAACCGCAAAAGAATATATATATATATATATATATATATATATATATATATATATATATATATATATATATATATATATATATATATATATATATATATATATATATATATATATATATATATATATATATATTTACTGTCGAAATTGGTAAATAAGCGTTAGTCTTCCAAATTTTTATATCTTTAGTTATTTATAAGATTGACTAGATTGATTTAGGACATGTGCTTCTATTCGTTTCAATTTTTATCATATGTAAACATTTTCGACAATGTTCTGTTGATTGATTAAAAAGAATACTACAATTCTTAAAGAAATGCAAAAATGTAACCTGCAATTAAAATAACTTCAAAGTAAATTTGCAAGAAATGTAAATGAGAAAATCTTAAATAATTCAATGAAAAGTATAAAAGTATGGTGGTCACACATACATTTCACTTAGAAAACTCTTTTCTCAACACACATAGATACTTTGAGTAAATTTGAACACACGAATCCTAACTGCTAAGACTGTTATTTATAATGAATCGAAAATAATTGTAATCTAACGGTTTTTTTGTCGGAAAATCCCACGTCTTCGATTTGCATGTATTCCGCTGCTCAAAACTTTCCACGTGTCTTCAAGAAACGGATAGGGACAAAAACCAGTTATCAACCTCATTTTGAATTGTATTTGTCGAACGCTACTCCAAGCAACTCCGTCGAACTCAAGTTTAGACCAAAAATATTTCTAAGTTACATACCATAATTTTCGGTATGCAACGAAAGTCTTCTTCGACCATATTCTTGAAAACCTTTCTGTCCAAAACAACATATTCTTTTTCAAAATATCTCTTCAAATTCCATTAGCTCACTTCAAATCTTTACATGCGTCAAAATCCCAAACAATAATATGATCTTGTGTTCTGTCTGTTTATTTATTTATTGTTTTATAAAATCAATAATTTAAAATTAAGTAAACTCGTCTGAAGTACTAAGGTTGTGTCATATACATAGAGACATACACAAACTAACATTTAATTTTTTTAAAACTCCATCTTCTTTCAAAAAGCTCTTCTAAAAACATCTTGGTTTGCGCAAAACTTTTGAAAATCTAAAATTAATTGATTATAATGTTTATATAATCGATTATATAGCAAAATTCTGTCTTTAATTGATTATGACACTTGTGCAACTAAATATGGGGGTGAACTCACTCAATAATCAATTAAGAAAACCTTCTAATTGATTATGGTTCAGATCTAACAAAATCTTTTCTATTTTACTAAGTCATAATTGATTATGGTTGCACTGTAATCTATAATCTATAACAATATATAAAGGCAATACATTGGTTTGATGTAACCTATTTTCTTTCCTCTTTTACCCTTTAAAACTACTTAGAAGTTACACAAATAAAAATTAACTACTCCCTACATTTTATATTTGAATATTGTACAAAGTAATTAGTTATTTAAAAAGAAAACTCACTTTAACTTCTAATTAAAAACTATATTTAAATAACTTCTCCTTATAAGTTATGTCTTTCATTTCTAACTCACTGGGTCCATAGAAGTCAAAAATAGAGAAGAAGAAAGTCTGCATGAGGAAAATTGGAAACCAGACAATGTTCATGATGGTGGTAGAAAAGAGAAATCTACAATTTGCAGATGCCATAATATGGACTGTGAATCACACAATGATTTCTCTTAGAGTTAATTATTAGGGCATTTAGATTCTTCAATCTAATTTTTTGATTTGGTTTTTTATTTATTTTCATTTACCATTTTGTTCTTTTTACATAAACAAATTCATATGTGAAATTGGGGTTTGAAAATTGAGATTATTGGATTTTTTTAATGTCTAATACTTTAATTTTTCTCTCTATTATAGAAGAAAAATGAATCATTATCTCTTACGAAAGAAAAAAAAAAAGTGTGTTCTAATTTTTAGATCAAATAACAATGACTATTTTTATTAAATTTTTTAAATTTTAGTTTTCTCTCTTAAATCTTTATCTATTATTGTTCCAATTTTACCTGTGTAATTTGCAAAAAATTTAAAATATAAACAATATCTCAATTTTTTAATTGTATAATTTCTACAATGTGATGTAAACATTAATCTATACTTATCTATACATATAGATAAAGACAAAATAACATTTTAGACTAACCTATATTTGTTAGATATTTGATCTTTAACTGTTATTTTAAAACCAACCACATATACAAAATAAATTTAGTAAATAATAATTGTTTCATTCTCAATTTAAAACTTTAACATTTTTTTATCATCCTTATCTTTAACTTCCTAAACAATTATCTCTCTTTCACTTGCAAGTTATTTTTCTCTCTCTCATGAATTGTTAATTTCATCTAAATTCTCTTTCACATGCAATTTTGTCTTTCTTTCCATTATTATTGAATATTTGAATTGTGTGAATTGTGTATACTGTCAATGTGTCTTTGTGATTACCTACAGTATAAATATAAAAAAAAAGTTTTGTAGAAAGTTAGAGTTGTTACAAACCATTGTATATCACTGTATATTTTACCAATTATCAAGTCATTTACTATACCACCATTCAACTCAGAAATACAAACTTAACTATATATATTTAATTTTTTCAATGCATCAGAAAATAATTGATCATTTTTAAAATATCCAAAAAATATATGATACTTAATTATATTGTGTAGGTTGTTATTGAGATTAATCTCTAATCTTGTCATTTATAAGACTCACATTCACAAATAAAATTACAATAATGTTAAATATAGGCTTTAGAGTTTTCTTTTTGTATAATATCAAGTCTAAGGCTATGAATGATATTAAGGGTTGAATATCGTTTAAAGATTGAATGTATTTGTGTTTATGTTTTCATCATGATTTTTTGTTTAATGATAACCAGTTATTAGTTACTTAACAAAATAAAGAAAGAGGAACAAATAAATGTCATGTGCAAATGAGATTGAGATATATAGAGAGGTAGAGAGACTGATGAGTGATATAAAAGAAGAGTTAAAGAGAGACAAAGAGAAAGTGAGAAAAAGAGAGAGAGAGGAAACATATATTAGTGGCAACATCCACATATAAGTTATAAGAAAGGGGTAAGTTACAAAAATAAATAACAGCTACCACATTATTATTTTTTTCTAAATATGCCTTTTTTTATTGAACAGAACATCGAGCATGAAAAATAATAGTAAGATTATTAATGTTCTTTATTGTAAAATATGTGAATATTTTATTTTTGTTATTTTATATCCATTTATAATTTGTATAATTTCTACATTGTGATATTATTAAAAATTTAAGACATTAAACAATATACATGGGTTGTCTTCTTACTTTTATTTTTTTTAATTATGTAAATAATATTATTTCATGTAACATTTAATTTATTGATAAGTTTAAATTTTCATATTCTACTCTTTAGATTATTAAGTTAATTTTAAGTTGACATTTGCATTGTTAAATTGTTCCGAAGATATTTTTTTAGTATTAAATTTGTCTGAAGACATTACTACAACATATTAAAGTTAATATGTATCATTATATTTTTATTTTTTTTTATAATTGTTCCTAAGTAATGTTATTTTTAATGAAATATATGTCAAAAACACCATTAAAAAAATTGCACGTGTTAGTGCAATAAAAAAAACGGACAAACGAGCAACGCTAGTAATATATAAAGGGAATACATGTATTTGAGTTGTCCATTTTTTTTAATCCAAAATTACCCTTTAACTAAAGTTGTGTTTCCTAAACAATCACATTAACAACTGTCTGTAATGTTGAAAAAAGAGAGGACAAACCCATATCAATAAAAATTAAACAATAACTGTGCAGTTTTCATTCTGAAACAATTTTCTTCCTTCTTTCATAAAAAGATAACACATGTCTGGACAATTACAAAATCGCTATCATGTTGCAATGGTTTGTGGAATGCAATAATCATGTATGTTATTTTATCTATTTCTCTATTTCTCTGTCTTTACTTTATTTATCTCATCACTTTGTCTCTTTAATTTCAAGTTTTTTAATTGATTATTTTTATGTTTTGATGTTGAAACAAATTTGTTCAATTAAATTATGAATTTATCTTATAATTTTGTAACTTTTAATATATTATTTTTGTTGTGTGCAAGTTTTGTTTTTGTTTGATTATTGATTAATTTGCCTCCAATTTATATTATTGTTGTTGAGACGGTTGAGTTCATATATATTTGCATTGTGGTGGTTCTGATAGTGCAGTTGAAAACATTATATTTCTTAATTT